TCTCGGAGGGGTACAAGGAGGGAGGAGGGAGTGGGCAGAAAATATGGTTGAAAGGAGCTGAAAAGCAGGAACCACTGGGGGACCCAGGCTGGAACCCCCTCGGGGTCCTTCCCTCTCCACCTTGTCCCAGTGGAATTTTAGCTCCCTTCCTCCTCCATTCTCTCTGCAACCCTCCCGAGGCCCAAATTCCAGTTTTTCATAAAAGAAATCAGCAGGCTGTGCATTTGAGAGAAAGTCCCAAAGAAGATGCAGGACAGAGAAAAATTCAAGCCGCCTGTGGCTTTTCAGAGCCTGCGATACGCTCCCGCCCCTCGCCCACAGCCTGGTTTTAAAAGACGCTTAGATGAGAAAGACATTGCTTAGTGTGGAGCCTGGGAAGACAACTCATCTCCCACGACTCCTGTTCGGCAGGGGGAAAGGGGGGGGGCGTCCTCCTGACTATGGGCCCCACTGCTCACTATAAATGACCTGTGAAGAGGAGGGCAAAGCAGAGGGGAGAGGGGCTCCCACCTGAGCAAGGGTGCAGGGCGCAAAGAAGCCCCTCCCCTCGCAGGCCCCTTGAAAGGGGCCCACGGATTTCTCAGAACCCTTGTCAAGAAGGCAACTTTATCATCAGGTCTTTGAACAAACTTTATGATTTAGATCATGTGAAGCCACAGGACAGACTTAAACCGGATTAGAAAAAAAAAGAGAGAGAGAGAGAGACTAAAACTTTACAAGTTTTGCAGCACTGGGATGGGTGAGAAATGTCCCTCTCCATCTTTGGCACCAGGTAAAATTGTACTCTTTTCCCACTTACATGAATTCAAATTGATCAGACTTGCCTACCGCAAATCTGAGGCCATTTATAAACACATTGCCACGGCTGCTGTACATTCCGAACCCTGGCCTCCTGGAGGCCTCTTGGAAAAGGCTGTTTTCCTTGTCAGACCAAGGGGATTCTGGAGCCGCCACGACACAAAATTAGGAAAGATTATTTCACGGAGCAGGGGTCCCATTAAGAGGATTGCTACAGAGCAGAGAAAGGGTTATGCTTCCCAGGAGCTTGTCCCTGCCTCCGAGAACACTATAATTTACAGGGGTGTCTATCATTTAAAAGAGACAAATTTTTCTGCAAAGAAGAGTTTGCAGTCTCCACACGCACAGGCTGATCTAAATAGTCATCAGCGACTGAAGAGGTTAAAACGAACGGCAGCAATGAAAACAGGGGAGCGGAAGCGCTCAGTTCTTGAGGAACCTGCTGACGTAGGCGGGCCATGTCAAGAGAGCTTCAGGAATACTCCTGAGTAAGTAGAAATAAGGAGATCAGCATTAAGGCTGAAATCGACAGTGCCTAGTAGGTTGATAGATGCTGGTTTCAGTAAGAAATCAACGACGAGTTAGTTCCCACTATATGACTATAGTACTGAAAGGCTAAAAACCACCATCCCTTAAAACTGTCCTGATTCTTGGACTGGAGAGCAGAGTGAGATTTTATTTTCACAGAGAAAGATGGAGTGTGCTTCGTATCTCCAGTCTCTCTCTCAGGTATGTACTGGCCAATGAGAGACCCCGGTGAGGCGGGGAGGGAATCAGAGGCCTCTTGTGACTGTGACCGTGACCATGACTGTGGGAACTGCTTGCCTGTGAGGGAAGTAGAGGTGAGATGATCTCTACTTGCTTTTCTCATTATCATAAATACTAAACCAACTAATTTATAAAATCTAACCCCTCCAAAAAAACTGGAAAAATAAACACCCACCTCCCCCCAAATTAACAGATTGTTTTGTTGTCCTTCCGTTTTGACAGAGAGAGAGCTGTATTGTGTGATTCACCCTTTGCAAGAGATGCTGGGGATGGACGAGAAAGGAGTTTAGTACTGGAACGTCAGGCTTTGGTTATTGCACTAAGAGAGTAACATACCAGCTTGGTACCGTGTGAGGCAAAGGACGCGTGCACCAAATCACAGGTGGGGTTTGAAACCGCAACCTTTCAGAGGCCCTGTTATTTAAGGCAGTGGAAAAAGTGGGGGAAGTGAAAATCTATGGTTTAGACTAATATCATCCCATGTCTCATCACTCATGCCCCTGCCCCTGGGGGCATGCAACTGAGGAGAGGAGTTTTGGTTTTGTTTTTAGTGTAAGTATGTCCCAAATATTGCACAGGTCATACTTAGGCTTAGAAAGGGGGAAACTGTTGTTGTTGAAGAACTTGCAAATAGAAAGAATTATTGTTGCTAATCAACCTGAGGACCCAGAACCAAAGCAAAATATAAAAGCCAAGGTCCAGGGGATTCTAGGTGGGACAGTAATTCAGGATACTAAGAAGGTAAGCTCATCATTTTCAACTGAAGAAGACAGAGGGTAAGGGAGGATGGTAGGTTAAATCTGGCCACAGATTATTTGCAGTTCCTTTCATGGGGCAGTGAGGGCCACTTCGCCCTCCCGTGAGTCAGGGCCAGCTCTGTGACCTATTTTAGCTAGCAGAATGCTGCAGTGATAATGCAGAACTTTCCAGCCTGGCCTCAGGACATCTGGAAGCTTCTGTCCTCGCCCGCCTGGAACTCTAGGACTGTCAGGCTATAAAGAAGCCTGGGATAGAAGAACAGGTAGAGAGGGAGGCTCAGGTGTCCCGGCCATTCTCAGCTGAGAACTCAAACATGTGGGGGAGTTTCCATCTCTAAGACAGACTCCGTCACAACTGCAGCTCCCCACAGCCTTGTGAGTGAGACCAAGGGAGACACCAACAGGTAACTAATGCAAGGAGGTTTCCAGAACTGTGTGTGTGTGTGTGTGTGTGTAGGGCGGGAACACTAGCTCTTCAAGAGAGGCAGAGGGATGGGGGGAGAGAGAGAGTGAGTTCCTAAATTGTGTTAGCAATCAAATAGATGGCCAGTGTCTCACCTAACTCGGGAAAGGGTCTGTAGGTATTGAACGGGTTAAGCTATGTGAGCATTCAATCTCATTGGGCAAAGGACAAAAATTAGGAAGAAAGGATTGAGAATGGTCAAGAAAACTTCAACCGGGAGCACTTCAACCTGAGCTAAAGACAAGTAAACGGACAGTATGGGTAGCTAAAGTTCATCTGTACTTTGTGTGGTAGAAATCCTGAGGTCTTTTTGATTAAGGGAAAGATAGTAACAGAAGCTCTGTGACTTTATGTGTTGTGTATGGGGCTGCTTTCTAACATTTGGTTTTGCCTCTTGCCAGCTTTTGGAGACGTCACTGTGGGAAAGAGAAAACGTCTATGATTTTTTTTCATGAAGGAGGCAAGCAGAACTTGCTTTGTAAGCCTGGACACCCCCACCCCAAATGCTTTCACTGCAGTGGGTGGAATGTGCAGGGGAACAGTAGATGAAAAGATGCATATACCCAACACGGCACCAAGGAATACAGCTTACCACCTAGGCTTTCCAGCATAGACAGGCTTGGGACTGTCCAGCCCAGCCTACAAGGGGGAAAGAGATGGTCTAATGATCCCCAATCTGCTTTAACATGCTTTCCTTCTCCTAAACCGTTCTCTCCACCATAACTCAGGCCAAGGGTTCAAGCAAATGCATCATGGTGAGAAGGAACTGAAGACAAAACAAGGTGAGTCAAATGTCCCTGACAGTTGAATACCTACCTTGTAAGGTCCTTGTAAACATTAAAGGATAGGATATTTAGTATAAGCATCTGAAATACAGCAAGTGTGCGATAACTGGGAACTACATCATGTGCTTGTGGCTTTACAACAGGACTTAAAAACACCTATATAGAACTGTTTTTAATTGAATTCTGCATTAGATTATATGTTTTTTAGCCTTAATTGCCTAAAAATAGTGACTGTATTGTGTGTGTGTGTGTGTGTGTTTGTGTGTGTGTGTGTGTACACACTGGTCTGTAACAGGTAGCTCCTGTTAACCACTCTGCAAATACGTGCTGACTACAAGACATGTTGGCTGAACTGAATAAAAACAGGAGCAGAGCACCTGGCTGACTCAGTCGGTTAAGCGTGTGACTTGACTTTAGCTCAGGTCATGACCTCGGGGTCATGGAGCGCCATGCTGGGCTCCGTGCTGAGCGTGGTGCCTGCTTGAGTTCTCTCTTTCTTTCCCTTCCTCCTTCCTTCATGCACACATGCTCTCTCATGCACTCTCTCTCTCCCTCAAAAAAAAAAAAAAAAAAAAAGAGGAGCAAAAAGGAATGTGCATGTCTACTAATACACTTACTTTTTTCAGCCTGAATCTGGATGGCACAGCCTCGCTGCGAGGGCTCACAGAAAATCTTCTAGGATCTCTCTGCACCTACATCTAGCAGAGCTAGAGGCTGTTTCAAAAACAGCTAAGCTAGGGAGACTTTTCCCTGTACTCCAGCTCTTAATTCCTAGAAACCCTATAAACGTGGGAAGCTGATAATCATGGTCAGGATTTGGGATGTATCCCTGTGTTTATGCCCCCATGGGGCCAACAGAGAAAAATGCTAAGGTGCTTGTTACTTCTAGCAACGATCTAACCATGGAAGACATGAGAGTCGCAGGTATTTTCAAAGAGAATGAAGTGTGGCTTAAGTTGAAATGATGCATGAGATTCAAATGGAAAAACGACAGAGAGAGAGAGAGAGAGAGAGAGAGAGAGAGAGAAGCCAAAAAGGTGGGAAAAAACCGCGCTCATGTAATCCTCAGAGTGATGAGCTATAAACATGGGTTTGGTACCTGGTCCCAACTAGGCAACTTAAAGCTCTTCCCAAAACAATCCAGTGTCTTATGTCAGGATACATTTGTTCTTGTCTTTTATTTTTCAATCAATCAGCTCCCCAGTACCCTTGAAGACCTTGATAAGAGAATTCTTATAGGAGCTTCTGGGTCACAGCGACCCGCATGGGTCGGCGGTCTGTGGTTCCGTCTGCTTCACAGCAGCCAGGGGTGTCGGTTAAAAGGTGGGGAGCAATTCTGCTGTTCCGAGGATAGCCGGGGAGCCAGCCCGCTTCGAGAGCTCAGTTGCTTCGTGGAGAAGTGCCCCTTGGCTCGCTGCGCCTACTTACCGTGGTCCAGGATATATTTCACGATCTCCCCGTGGCCGGTTTTGGCTGCGTGGTGAAGGAGGGAGCAGTGGTCCGGGCCCTGAATTAGCAGACTGCCTCCATTTTTATAGCTTTCCATTAGCTGAGAAAGAGACACAGGAAAAGCAGCTCAGGCAGAGTCCGGAACAAGGGGAGTACAGCTAACCAGTTATAAAATGAGAGTGATGTAGCAAACCACAAGTGTTTCTAGCCTCAGAGGACACGGGGAAGTCAAAGGGAAGAAGCAACGTTCCCGGACCGTGTTAGCACTCGGCTGGCGGGCCGGCGTCTGCCTCCCCTCCCTCCGGAGAGGGTCTGCGGGCACTGAGCAGCCCAAGGAGACTGAAACGTGCTGAATGAGTTATTTCTTTTCTGTTTGATGTCTTTTTCTTTTCTGGGCACTGGTTGCTCTCCCAAGAGAGTGTGAAGGGCAGCAAAGAGAAGAAACGCTTTCCTATGTTGGCTCGGCTTTCTCTTGAGTGAAAGAGTAATTAGGGCCAGAGACAGGAATAGCTTGGTGTCTGGTAGCTAAGCTCCTTCCCGAGCCTATGGTTTCTCTCCAGCCTCTAATGAACCTAGCTACCAAATGCGGAAGCTGCGTCCCCCTTTCCCGTGGGAGACGGTGGCACACGTGTGTACAGCCTCTTTCTTCTTCTAGATCTGCAGGCCAGCCAGCACGCCTTCTGCGAGTCATCTAACCTGCACCCAGTGAGGCTAGAGAGGATCCACAGGACGAGAACCCAAGGGATTCAGAGACTGTGGCAGGAGAAACCTGAAATACCTATATTGTGAGAACAGACTGGAAAATGACCAACAGATTTTGTAGCCTGAGAACCACGTGGCGGAATGAGGATGTGGTCTCATTTCATGAAATACTGAACATTACAGAAAGTGTAAATGGGTCCCTGTTCTCCAAACTGCAGTATAGGAGAACAAAAAGAGTCTTTCTGGAACTTCTAAAGGGTAGTTTTAGCACAAAGAAGAATAGAATAAGCCGGGAGGTACCAAGCAAAAGGAATGGTTCTATCACCAAGAAGTTAGATGGCACATTATTTAAAAAAAAAAAAAAAGTAAGCATCTCCTAAGGTCAAAGAAAGTAGACTCATAGTTCATGGTCTCACTCAGCTCCAACCATGGAACCGCCATGTGACAGATGCCAGGGAAACAAAGATGAATAGGACTCAGTCCCTGGCCTCAAGACCTTGCCATCCATGGGGAAGACACATGCAGGGATGGAGAAGAACATAAGGAGTTTATCACAGGGTGAAAAAAAGAGTCGGGAAAGGCTTTCTAGAAAATAGGCCAAAAACGAACAGTTGATTGGAAGTAAAGAACATACGGGGACATTTATCCCTAAACTTCGAGGCTAGAGGACAGCAAGAGGTAGTTAACAGTTTTCCACAAAGAATCTATGCATATCCAGTACCGTTCAACATCAGTCTTACAAGGACACTCCCTTTCTTTTTAGGCAGATCCGTAGAGGACTTGGGCTCAACGGAGTAGCAGAGACCCAATGCATCAGCGGCCCAGATGCTACCTTTCTGTGGGTTTTTGGACCCTGCGGACATGCGGGTAGTCCGTGGGTATCTTATGCAGCTCAGGGGCACAGCAGCCACTCCCAGCAGCTGGACGGCTCCTGGGGTCTCGGTGCTCTGCTGTCTGCTGTGTACTCTCTCTCTTACAGACACACACACGGTTTAGTATTTAATATTTCTTCTGCTTTCTGCACAGACTAGACAAACAGAAGAAGGTGGAAAAGAAAGAAAACGGGAAGAAACACTTGGGAAGGAAAGAGAGAAAAAGAATGAGAAGGAAAAACTCCATGTCACTGCATTTCAACTCTCAATAAATAAGGTTGAGTAATTTCTTAGGCACTTAGGAAATGATTGTAATGAACACAATCCATGGAATATGGCCATTTCCCACATTTCAAAGAATCCTCTATTAAGTACAAGAAAAGTGGGGTTATGTACTCGGGGACCTGGAAAATATGTTGCCTAGACTAAAAGCACATGCAAGATGAAATGAGATTTCAAATGTAGTTCGCACACTTTTTTCCACTTAGAAGCTCTGCAAGGGCATTTAATAGAGGGCCTTGCAGGGTATCCAGGATAATACTGCTTCGGTCCCCGGCTGGGCAACAACATTGAACTCCCAGCTACACTGCTTGGCGAGTGCATTTTGCTTGTGGGTGACGATTCCTAGATGCAGACAGGGCCACAAGCCCCACGTCCGGGCTCATGTGTCTAAAGATGGCAGCTTATCAAGGTGTTTGCACCCTTTGTGCCAGTTCTTTCCTGTCAGTAACCTGTTAACACGGTAGCACGGGGGTTTCTCCGTGGATTCAACAGATGCTTTGAAAGAACTTGCATGCAAGGTCATTGCTTCTCAGCTCTCTTTTTAAGGTGCTTGGTTTCTTGATCTGTAATGGCACCACACTCCACACAGGCTGGTGGCCTTGTGCCCTACGCAGTTACCAACATTACAGAGCAGATCAATGCCAGTGTGGGTTATACAGGGATATACGGGCACTCATGAGTCCCAGTGCCTGAAAAATGACAGGAGACCAAATGTAGCTTTTAGAATGCTCATGGACTATACTGTGTAACGAGTATTTGCATCTCCATTGTGTTTCTTAAAAAAACACAGACTAACACTACCTGCTAGCATTTTAGAGTCCCTTCTATGGAATAGAAATAGTCTTAAGAGCTTGGCATGTATTGTTACAGTTAATCCTCACAACAAAGGAGAGAGGCCACATTATTCAATTTTATAGATGAAGAAATTGAGGCACAGGGAGAATGAGATAATTATACAAAGTCACACAAACAGTGAATGGCAGAGCCAAGATCTGAAGCCCAGCAGTCTGACTCCAGAATGTGCATTCCCTCTGGAGGCAGCAGCAGCCACTTCCTCTGAACTAAGAAAATGTAAGCATGAATTAAAGTGTTGGAGGGAGATCAGATGGAGCATCTTGTGGGTAGCTGTGATTCCCCAAGTACAAAACTGTAATAATGTTGGAAGCTGTAGGCTCTGGCCTGGAGAATGTACTTCTGGGTGTTGTCCACGTAATTCTTACAGATGCACTCATTTCAAGACCTGTCTAAAAAGAAACCTTTCAATTGCAAATAATCCGCTTCTGGACATCATGAGCACTGCACCTGGGCCACATGCCACCCGTGTTAATTAGTCGAGACAACCAGCATGGTACCCCTGCATATGTTCTCCGCTGTTGGGCAATGTGGAGATGCTGGAAAGACTCCTCTGGCCCTCTCTGCCCACTTCTCCAAAGGGTGCCCTTCCCCCTCCAACTCAGCTAGTACAGGCAGGGGGATGACGTATGACATATGAGAGATCACGAAAACTTGGTGAGAAATGATTGATGTTAAACTTCTTGAAGAATCACCAAAAGTGTGGGTAGGAAGATAGCTTACCTTCATAAGATCACCAGCTATTACTGCCTGCAAAATTGCTGTGGGAGACAAAAGAGAGATGTCCCATTAGTAGAAGACCCTCTCATTTAAATATCCCAAGGGGCTGGATCCATAGTTTGCAGAAATAGTCTATATTTGAGGCAGGAATCAGGGAAGGAGAAGCATGCCAAAGGCTGAATCTTGCAACAGGGAAAAGCTCTCTCTTCATTCCTTCACTACCCTGGTACCCATTCTATCCATCATTCTAGAGTCTACCTCGATAACCCCTCACGAAGCTTGGAGCCACAGAGATTAGGTTCAAATCTTAGCTCCAACACAAGCTCTGGGTGAATCATGGAAACCCTCAGAGCCGGGTTTCCTCCACATCTGCCCACAAGCAAGTCTAAATCTTACAGAATGACTGAAATGATCGATGAAGTCATGTGGATGTTTTCAACTCTCTTCTACTTAGGCGGGCTGGGTGCTTAACCATGATTGCTTCTGCTCCCTCCTTTCCACTTCCTTGCACTCTGTCCTCTTGGGGTTCCAAAAATCACTAATAATTTTGCTCTGCAGTGGCAGACAACACCTACCATTATGGAAAGGAAGGGGACTGGAGGTAGTGAGGAGGGAACAGGTATGTTCTTTATGTTCTGAAGAAAATAGCCATGTGGTCAGCATCTGATCCATGGGTGACTCTTATGGAAAGAACTCAAAGGATTAGGAAACCTAATCTAATTGTAAAAATATGTACCTTCAGGGGCATCGAAGTGCAGGTACAAGTGCACTTGTACTTGGGAGGTAGAGGACGAGGGACAGGAGGGGACTGCTGAGAGAGGACAGGATGCGTGAGCACCTAATGACGGTGTTGGATCCTAAAGGGAACATGTGCATTCTGTTGGAAATGGTCCCTTCGGAAAAACAACTACTTAGATTCTAGAACTACCAAAAAAATGGATTATTTTAACGCTTGAATGGCACAAAATTTTAGAAGAAAGTAATTTAAATTTTCTTTCTCAAAGTGTCATTTTATTTTTCATTTTGATTTTTTAAAAGATTTATTTGTTTATTTTAGAGAAAGAAAGAGAGAGAGAGAGAGCATGAGCAGGAGGGGCTGAGCGGGGAAAGAGAGAATCTCAAGCAGACTCCCACTAAGCTCAAAGCCTGATTTGGGGCTGATCTCACCACCTTGCGATCATGACCAGAGCCAAAATCAAGAGTTGGACTGTTAACTGACAGAGCCACCCAGACATCCCAATGCAGTGCCTTTTCACAACACTATGAACTTGATAACCTATAAAGACTATTTCTTTCCCTTTTTTCTAGGCCTCACAGAGCTGGTGGAGCTGTACTGGACAGAGGTCTGGACTAGACACAGGGACCTGCATTATGGTGACAAGTAGGCCGCTCACTTGTAAGCACACTCTCTCTCTGAAAATAAATTAAAAAATAAAATCTTTGAAAAAAAAAAAAGAAGACATTGGACTAGGGTCTAATTCTAATCCCTAATTTAGCAGACATGTAAGTTTAACAAGGCAATGTTTCTGAATCAATTTTCTTATTTGTAAAATAAAATTTATAGCTATCCTGCTCATCTCTCTAATGTAAAAACAAAACCAACAAACAAAAGCTTTGTAAGTTCTCAACAGTAGAGTGCTTACTTTTTTAAGATGATATTGAAACTTTCCCCAGAAATTAAAAGGAAAAGAAAAAAAGAGAAAAGAGAGAGAAAAGAAAAAACAAGCTCATTAATTTAAAGCACTTGTGTATAAAATTTCATGCATATAAGCACAACAAATCAATGCAATAAAGGAATTACCCAGAACAAATTCTATTTGAGGAGCAGCAGGAAGGGAAGTAAGAAAGGAGAAAGAAAGGAAGGGAAAGGAAGAGAAGAAGAATGAAAAGAAAGAAAAATATCAGAATTTGGGGAAAAACTTATTGGCTAGCTGTGGAGTTCAAAGATTTCTTGGAGGAGGTGAAATTTAAGCCAACTCTTCCATGGTAAATGGAATTAATTAGCGAAGAAGATCTGGAAAATCCTTACAAGATGAAGGCAGGATCCAAACAAAGACATGGAAGTTAAGTTGTGATGCCTAAGGGAATCTGCGAAGAGCTGTGTATCATCTTCCCTGAGGTGGGGAACGGTTGCAGACAAATATTGCCAAGTCGCAGGAACCCCCCCAGTGAGCACCTCTTCTGTCAAGATGAGGCACTGGAGTTTATCCTGCAGGTGGTGAGAAACCACTGCAGAGGTAAAAGGAAACCAGAGAAGCATATAAATATCAACCATGCCAGTTTGACCCCAGCCTCCCCCTCCTGAAAAGAGAGTTATGACCTGCTCTCTGCTCATTTTCTCCAGATTGCCCAATATTATAGCCTCTTTAAATGTCTACCCCAGACTCACTCACAGTATTGCTATGCTTGTTGGTTTCCAGCAGTCTCCCAATTTAAAGTTCCCATGAACAGGGAGAGGATCACATAACAGAATCATAACCACGAATAATTTCCAATTGTACTAGAGATGGAAAGCAGGGATATTTATTCTTAAGTCAAGCAATACACCCAAGGGTAGCTATTATGCAAACATTATTAGACTCAAGCTCACTTCTCTCTCCTGATTAATGTCCTTCCCCATGTACACTGTTGTTTAAGATCTCCTCTGCATAGAGAGAGCTTGGATCTATTAGTATTCAACTCCAGATAACAACCTTCTGAAAGATCAAGCTTCAAAAACAAATAACGAATTGTTATGATTACAGTATTATTCTTTATTATTTCTTGAGCTCCAAGTTTGCCTTCCTGCCTTTTCCAAAACTCTTTGCAACTGGGGAAATCGTGATCCCAAATGCAAAAAGGGTAAGTCAAATTGCTGATGAGACGTAAAGGCAATTGAGTAGATGGATAGCAGGTTTCCTGGACAATTAAATCACAGAAACGCACATAGTTAGGCAGGAGAGTAAGGGATAGAGAACTGCGAAGTTTGTCATTTTTAGAGCTTAGAAGCAGACTCATTAATTCATATGAAATGGCTGGTTTTTCCTCCAGTGCTAAACTGCTCTCCAGTAAACATCCTGAACTGAGAAGTCAGGACCGCCAGGAAGGAATCACCATCTTCTGTCTTAGTCTCTCTTTCTTGGGCCTCTATTACCAAGGGTCTGGATATCCTTAGGCATCTTGCATGAACGAACAATGGCTACCTGCTGGAATCAGCAGAGGGACAAAACAATCCATAGGGTCACTGGCTGGCCACCTGCTCCTGCCGTGCCAGGCCCTGTTCGAGGTTCTGGGGATACCTCTGTACAAAGCAAACTCAGGGAACTGGCATTTTGGCAAGAAGTCCAAATTAGAAAGGGATACATTATAACTAAGCTAAGAGTCAGACTCCTTGTGAGTCCCTGGGAGCACCATGAATTGGCTGTAACCTTGAGCAAGTTGTAGTTTACCAACCTTCAGTTCTCTCGTTAGAAAAATGAAGATAAAGTCAGTTCTTTGGGGACTCTGCCTTTCAAATCAGCTCAAGGAACAGAGGACTGACTATTTTGGTCTCCTGTGTAGAACGAACATCATGAGATCCTGATGCTTTTGACCTCGTAACACAGAAAAAGAACCATTTCTCACCTATGAAATGAGAAGGTTAGATTAAGGCCAATTACAGCTGTAGAGTTTGGCATATGAATACTTCCAAAGGGAGAGTTTAAGGTTGCAGTTTTTGCTAGGCCAACGAAAATATTTAATAAAAAGTACACAGGGCTTGGCAAAGCCACATACGTGAGTTCTCGATAAATCACTCGAAATAACTACATCAACTCTGTACACTCAGATCTATTTAAAAAGTTTAAATTTTCATATTATTTCTCAGTTCTTAAATTAATATTCTATTTCCAAACCGTTCGTCACCTAGTAATGATAGCAGTCACTTGAATATTTTTCAAAAAGTTATGGAAGAAAACATTAAAAGTACAAACCACCACCATCGAACAAAGAATAGCTTGTAGAGCCCTGGGTTGGAATCAGTTGTAGCACTGAGAAGCATAAATATATATCTTTTTTTGCCTTGTTTTTAACTCCTAAATAGTTCATCTGTGAAGCAAGAAACACGTCCTAGAACTGTCCCTTCAGAAGTGGTCATATTTTACATTCCAGAACTATTTTGGGCTCTAGCCTAAACCTCTCATTTCATAGATGACAACACAGGCTTGAAAAGTAAATGGACTTTTCCAGGGTCACACAGATAGTTAGCAATCCAGATGAAAGAGAGACTCATTTTTTTCTTTTGTTTTGTTTCTTTCACGTTTTCTTTAATGTTATTGCATCTGACCCCTATGTTAGAATTCCTGCCACCATGCTGTTTCCCCTTGAACCTGGAGCAAGGTGGGCAAAAGATAAAACAACCCCAAGTAAAAGTCTCATGAATGCATCCCACACCAAATTAAGTCAATTTAAGGCTTCAAGGTCCAAGACTTTTTATGCCAAAGGAGACACTGAATATCGAGGGCAGATGTTGCATTCACAATTCTGTTAATTTGATCATGAAGGGCATCTTCCTATTTGTCCTTTATTCAAAGTTATGTACTGCTTAGTCACCAGATGGCTTGCATTGTCAGCTGCCCAAGAGCCTACTTCTTTTAGATACCTACTTCTGCAGAGCCTTTCCTGCATTTTCCTTGTCAGAAGCATTCTGTCCAACTTTTCTACTTTGTAAGCAGTCCATCATGGGACACGAGCAACAAAGTGTGAAGGCTTAGCTCCCCAAAACGAATTTAGTATGATCATTAGATATGGCAAAGGTAACTAACACTCATTTAATGGCATGGATAACTACTGCAAATTATGCTAATGAGGCATAAATGAGAAGCAGTTCATGAAAATGACTGTAATTAGTATTATTTTACATAGCCATGCTCAACACAATGAGGTGAGAGAAAGGAGGAATTCGATATTTTGAAAGACCTCTGCATTTTAATGTAAGCCTAGAGGAGGTTTTGACAACCGCTAATAAGTTATGTGCCAATTATTTGTTAATAGCTAAAATACTGAGGGTTTTTAATATATTGGA